TTGATTCTCCTCTTCTCCTTCTTTTCCTCCTTTCTTACCTCACACCCTCCCTTGTTCCCTCACCCCCCCACTCACTGACTCACCCACTCACACGAGAACCAGCGTTTTCACGCCAAGGACAGATCTATAGAATCTCTCTAGACATCCAAGGGCATCGCTACTAGGAACAAGGGCATTACGACTAGTAGCAAGAAGCTACTACTAGCTCCTGGCATCACTGGTAGCTTCTGAGGACACTACGAACGTAACAAAGGGCATCGCTACGAACGGAGCAAGAAGCCATGAAAAGCCTTCCCCAAGACATCGCTACCAGGAACAGGGACGCTACGTTCGGGGCTCCTGGCCTTACTACGAACGGAGCGATCGGACGGCATCGCGCCCCAAGTTCATCTCCCCTCGTCGTCTCGCCGATTTGCACGGGATGTCCTCGCGATGTCCGCAGGTTCTGCCTGGTGCGGATGAAGACCTGGGTGGTGACATGGAGGATCTGGCAAACTCCTTCATGGCGGGGTGGCCTTGAGAGGAGCCAACCTAGTAGCGATGGCCTCCAAACATAGAAAGAATACTTTGAAGAATCTACTAGCAATGGCCTCCAACCTACTAGCGATCTCCTCCAACCCACTAGCAATGGGGTGAAAATTGATTGAAATGAAGAATTTTCGAATGCGAGTACAAGATGGAATCTCATGTTATTCCTTTCTAAATCTTTGTAGCTTTGACATCAGGGGAGTCTTGACTGGCATGTTTGGCGGAAACGAGGGCCGAGCATTTTGAGAAAGTTCTGAGCATCAACCGAGCTGAGTGGATGACGAGGCTGTTTGACTCACATCTGTTTCGATGCTTGACATGTCCAATGCCGAGGCGAATGGTTTGGACTTCGAGTTGGCTGAGAAGCCAACGTCCGCAGAGAATGTGGACATTGCGTACAGCCGCAACTCTAAGTTTGTGGACGCTCATCCAGAAAGGTTCGAGAGTTGACCTGCTTTACAGCCCTGAATTCAATGCCACTCTTTTGTGTGTGACCTTGACCAAACGGACCGCTCACATGTTGAAATCAAGCTGTGGGAAGAGGAGTGACCCGAATTTGGCAGATCGGTGGTGACCTCGGTGATTAGACGGTGATTAGACGGTGATTAGATGGAATCGCTGAGGATGTGAAGCTGGTGAAGAAACATTTGTGGGGATGCTTGGAGAAGGATTTCAAGAAGGACTCTGAGAAGAAACGGAGTTTCCAAGAAGTGGTCTCGCGAACCGTGAGTGCAATGCCGAAGGGAGAGTGTGAGAATCTGAGCGCTGCAGCCGCTTGCTCGCACATGGGGTCCGTTTTTGTTGTGCGTGCTGTTCTGAAAGCGGGTCCTGCCAGCTGAGGTTTGCTTCATTTGTGCGTTGCATTTATGCAATGAAAAGAATTTGGAGCTGAAGACTGATCCTGCCAATCCGCTGGGTGACTTTGCCATTGTCGCGCATGAGTAGACGTACTCGTAGACACGAGGCTGCACGAAACTCGCAGACGGCACCAATTCTCAGCTGTGGCAGTGAGCGCACACCGTAATTCGCTGAGAGCGGCAGATCAATTCGCAAAGCTAAAGCGAGATCATTTTCAGAGTGCCGTGAGCATGCTGGAGCGTTTTTGCGTGTCACGACTGTTTCTACTTCACACGATGCTTACTTCAACACAAGGGCCTCCAACCTACTAGCGTCCTTGCTCCTAGTAGCGATGCCCTTTGTTCCTAGTAATTAGCTTCTTGTTCTAGATTCTAGTAGTAAGTCCAGGAGCCCCGTTCATAGCGTCCGATTGCTCCGTTGCTAGCGATGGCCTCCAACAACGCAAAGTTCGGATCCTATAAGAGGTTGGCTGTTTGCCCCAAGTAGTAAAAATGCTACTAGTAGCGATGCCAGGAGCCCCTAGTAGCGTCCTTGCTCCTAGTAGTAAGGCCAGCAGCCCCTAGTAGCTTCTTGTTACTAGCAGCGAGGCCAGGAGCCCCTAGTAGCTTCTAGCTACTAGTTTGCATCTGCTTGCCAATCTTGCCATGACTCCGGTGGTGTTTTACACGGCACTCGTTGCCCGCGATGAGGCAGGACACGATGCCTGAAGCTTGAGATGCTTTGGGGAGAGGCGTTTCTTTAGGCATGTGGTCGGAAGGCTGAACTCAGTAAGAAGGAAAAACGATGCACTCAGCAAGAAGCAACAGTGCTGCCTAATGGACAATGCAAATACTTCAAATCCCAGGATGTGGTAGATATGAGAACGTTCAGCCTTTACTTTCCCTTTCTGCTGCTAGAACCATTCAGCGGCCCCAAAAAGATGCAGTGCGCAAAGAGCATCGTTGGCGAAGGGCATCGTTTTGGTCGGGTGTTTGAGTCTTGAGCTTTTGCTTTCGTTCGTAACGACCAAAGCTTCCTTGGGAATCGTTTCACCTGATCCTTTCTACTGCGGCCTGCAGGTATCCACAGATGTATGCACAGGTGTATGCAGATTTGGTCGCTCCATGAGTCCGTTGGCATCCGCTCCGTTCCGTCCGACATGACGGGCAGTGACCGTCAGGATGTGCTGCACTGGAGCGAAGACTTCCCATCTGCAACACCTTTCCCGATGCCACAGAAGGAGCTACTGGGCAGGATGTATGACATATTAGTATATATGACATATAAATACGATGTCGCAGGCGATTTCTCCCTGGGATTGGCCGATGTGATTGCTGTGAATCCATGCGATTGGTCGCCCCGGCCCATCGCCTTGGGCCAAACCAAGGTGTGTCGTGCCAGTGTGTGCAGCTCCGCCATTGTTCACACAGGCGAACGTGGCCCGTGTTGGGCTGTGAAAGAAACCGGTGCGTTTGGTACAGAGATGACAGGTCTTGACTGCAGCTCGGTGCCTCCATGTTTCGGTTCCGTGTTGGTGAATGACTCGGCATCTAGAGTGTGAAGTCTGAAATAGCCATGGAAAAGCGGCGGGTCCCATCTGAGTTTGCCATGTGAAAAAGTCGGATCTGCACAAGTTCATGCAGCCATTCACATTCACTTGGGAAGAAAAACAACACACCCGAAGACTTTCTCATCGGTATTGGCCAGGACGCGCCCGAGATGATCGATGCAGATGTTTGCCCCAGCAGCAGCCTAGCTTCAGTTTTCTCGAGAGTTGTTCCCCAATTCTAAGCACCGCGCATTGTTGAAGTGCTGTTACAACTGTTGCTATCCCAGGCTTTTTGCATTCTTTAGCCACAGGCTATGTATCAATTCATGAGAGATACCCCTTGCTTGGCCCATCTCGCGGGATACCACGTTATAGACTCACAGCGCACACCACGTTGGAACTTGGAACATTGGCCACACGTAGCGGCACTGAGGTTTGTATCAGACAACCAAGTGTGGCGCTTGCTCCCTGCTGGGTTGCAGCCATGCCAAGGTCGCAGCTGTTTTTCTTGGTCATGAGTCATAGGTTCAGAAGGCAAATTCTTGTTGCGTGGATCCACTGAGATGCATGGGACCACATCGCCCATTGGATCACATCTCCATGTTACACAGAGAGATTTGGAGATGAAGTCATTTGTCCCTTCATGAGATGAAGTCATGTCATGTGCAGCATGTGTGAAATATGAGTACTTGAAGTGCCTGCAAGTAGATCAACCCAGATACACAAGTTTGAGTCAACATCAAAGCGCCTTGGATCACCCATTCCTCCGCAGGAAGTCACCAAATGGCACGCAAACTTTGCACAATCAGGGAATCTTGGATGGCAGGGAGACCTTGGGTCAAGTCCGTCGCGAGCTGCAAAACGTACTATATATCCATGCCGGATGGTTTGATCGTTGATCCGCGGAACACAAAAAGTGAGCACCTTTAAATTTAATCTGAGACTGCTCGATACTTGGCAACCCTTTGGGCGACGTGCAACCTCGTCGCGCGACGGAAACGCGTCGCGGCTGCGCGTCAAGGCGTGAGGTGTTGGTGTTTGGTCGCTGCTTTCAATCCGGGATCATTCCGGAGAATATGGGGGCCAAAGAACATCTACACCACCAGTTAGACTTATCTCTTCCTGCTTGGGAATGTCGATGAGAGCTCCTGGGGTGTTGACCCACTGCTGCTTTCTTCATGCGTCAGTGATTAACAGAACTTCGGCCATTCTCAGACAATACCTAGTCGAAAGGGCTGCCCTACTGATATGATCTGATATGATATACTATATATACATAGACTGATCGTTTGCCGAGAAGCTCAGGACCTATCGCCATCGCGATGCAACGGTCCGTGTGAGTTATTGCTCGGTGGTCAACCTTTGAGCCCGAAAAATCCTCAAACGATCAGCTGGACGGTCAGCTTTTCGTGGCGCGCGTTGTTTTGGGTGGCGAACGGGTTTCTAGTTTCCAAGGCAAGACATCAATGGCGACAGCGATCATGGAACCGAACCCTATCCAAGAAAAATCGATTTTTTCGGATGGCAGACAAACGATGAAGGGGAATGGTCGTTCAGAAAGGGAAGGGCAGGTCTACGGCCCAAGACATCAGATTGAATTCCATGGCCTTTTCCAATTTGGTTCTCAGCTGGACCATGGTAGGGAGTCGTACTATGCTGTGACAACCCAGATCAGCTTGGCCCATGGGGTCCAGATATCTTGCCTAGCAAGTAGGAGTAGGAGTCGCCTGAAATGGACTGATGGAGAGCGTCCAATGGTTTTTGCTAGTTGAACATGCTGTTTGGATGTTGAAGTGATTAGCTCCTGGTGCTGACTGACGGTCTCCAATCTTCCAAAGGTTCCATCAATGGCCACTCAGTCTGTTTGATGGCTTTACAATCTCACGTACTATCACAAAATCACTGTCGGACTGGAATGGAATCAGAGAGTGCTATTGTAATTCGTGGGGGAATGCCGTTGTTGATCCGCCTGTGCCATTGATCCTGGAGAAAAGAGCGGCTCTTGTGATGTTTCAAGCCATTGACTGCCAGTCTAGATTCCGTCTTGATCGACATTTCAATCAATTGCTGCATCTTTTGGATGGAGGCATTGGCACGCAGTGCCAAATGGCTGCTGAGGAAGAGGCTGTGGAAGAAGACCCTCGTCAAGGTTCGAGAACCCCTGCACCTAAGTAGCTTCCTCCTAGTAGTAAGGCCAGGAGCCCCTAGTAGCGTCCTTGCTCCTAGTAGCGATGCCCTGCACCAAACCATATCAGGCAACCTCATCTTCGAATCACGGTTGTTTTGGGGTGGCACGTACATGTTCTTTCTTGGACTGGCTTCACCTATAATATGCTTCTGCAAGGTGTTCCTTCGGCACAAAAGGCACTTAAGATACCCATGTAGCTAGCTTTGTGAAAGGTGTTCTTCCATTTCTGCCTCCAAAGAGATTTCAACACTGCCTTGAGTACAGACTAGTCATTTCTTTAACCACTTTCAATTGTGTTATGTAGCTTAGCTCCTAGCTTCAAAGGCTGAATAGGTTTCCAAAGAGCCCATGGGTTGACCACATGTTCCAACAGTGAGCCCATAGTGGCCGAATGGACACGACCGTTTTCCTCCGCTCAGGAACCGCGAACCGCGTGCGAACCGATCAACTCTTAGCCCTGGGCAGTAGGACACCTGCACGTTTGTGGCCTTTTTGGTGCTTCACATTGGGGTCAACCAGGAGTTTGGTATAGATCTGCTTCGCCAACCCCTGAATAATCAGTCAGGCAGCCAGACTGGGGTGATCAATCCAGATCAGTGTCACCCTGAATGGTTTATAGAATATAATATAAGACCTTCCTTCTTTTTCTTTGCTTCTAATTGCGATGGCCTCCAACCTACTTACGCGATGAAGCCCTAAGGAAGCCTTGGGCCACTGTGGCCACCTGGCACAGAGGAACTGCGTCGTTCGTTTGTCTTGAACTGACGCACCGTAATGTGAGTCAGTTCCATGGTTGGGGTGAATCCCTCCTGTTGCAGAGGCAAGTGGCCTATGAAAAGTTGTAGGAATCAGTTGATATGTAGAAGAAGGTAGTTGAGAGTAGATATTACAAAGCAAAGCCTTAAGAGTGGATCCAACTTGAAGCTGGTCCTCTCTGGCCAAAGTGTTTTGTTTTTTCTTCAGGGCTTATTGGATGATGTTCGGTCTGGGTTTGGGTCAATGTTCAGACGTATAAAACATCTCATGTAGAGCCTCCATCCATGATGATCCCATGGTCATTTGGTGTGCTTGCTTGTTTCTTTTTATAGCCTGCCCTTACTTAATTAAGTAGGCTTAAGCTAGTACCTACTGGACGCAGGATAGCTCGCGCTTCTTCAACGAAGCTCCCCCCGCCGCCCTAAAGGCAGTGGGGGGGAGCTTCCTTGAAGACGTGCTCGCACTAATGATTTGGTTCCTAATAGCATAAGGAACTGAATAGAAATGGCCTCCAACCTACTAGTGACCTCCAACATGACTAAGAACTCTGCATCCGAGACACCGTCTCGTGCTCGCCCAGGCGCCGCAGGTGATCCACGAAGTCCACATGGGTCCCGAACGACGCTCCGGCTTGTCGTTGAGAAAGGGTTCGTCGAGACGACGGACGAGGCGTCGATGAGAAGCGGACTTGAGCTGTTTGGAAGCGGCCAAAACGGGGGGGAAACTCAAGTGTTTGAGCTCCAAGTTGTGTGTTGGGTCTCTTGATTCACGAACACAAAACAAATTACTCCGCTTGGCGCATGACCAGGTACGGCTGCCCTAGAGGTGCTGAAGATCTTCAATTTGGTTTTGGGATCTGGCGCCGATTCCGAGAACTTCTGGGAGCAGCAGCTGGTGCCTTGCGGCGGAACGAAGCGAACTGAGGGTCCCAAGAGAAAAACCGCACATGCGATTTCAGTAGGTGTTGCTTTGAGTGCCACCAGTGCCAAATCAGCAAAATCACTAAGGTGTTCTGCTCCAAGTGAAGTAAAAAGCTCCAGTGCAGAGCTATTCCAAAACCCAAGTTCTCACACTGGATGCGGACAGTGCCGCCGACGAATGCTCAACGAGGTGCCAGAAGCCGCCCGGAGATTCGGCTTTGCTGCAAAGCAGTTGCAACGACACCATGCGCGGCAGCCTGGTGGGTGTTTGAGCAAGGACGCCACTAGGAGCAAAGGGCATCGCTACTAGGAGCAAGGACGCTACTAGGGGCGCAGAGGAGTAACATTGACGCGAACTGAAAATGAGTCTCTAAAGTGATGGTTTAGAGAGAGGAAGGAAAAGAGAGACCAAAAGAAAGAAAAGGAGCCAGGGAAAACAGAACCATAAAGAGCACATAAAGAATAGATGTGTTTCTAGGCCTAGAATAGGAACTGGTGGAATGCAGAGAACAAACGGCATAGCGAGAACGACGTTCTCCTAGTGCCAGGTAAAGCCGCACGCTCTTTTTCAAGCCATGGAACACCATTGCCGCGCAAAGCCCAGCATGTTTGTGTCTTTCGGCTTCGTTCAGATGATTCCACACCACCGTGTGGTACGCAGCCGCCGAGAGCCAGGTGAAATTTGAATTGGATGCCGTCAGCCGGCCGTTCTTCAGAGCTGGATATCCCAATCCCTTGAAGGAGGAGCCAGCCATCTCTCCACCATCGACGGGTGCATCGTTTAAGCGATGGATATATATGGGGCGCAAAAATGCAAAAATCCTGCTATTTAAGAGCGATTCATGTTGTGGCAAGCATGCGCTTGCGGTGAGTGTCGTTGCAAATACTTTGTCCAGCTTGGTGGAGGAAGATTTGGCATTGTTCACATCCAGCACCGTCAATGCCTGAGTGATGGCGTGGCTCAATAATGCTTTGATGCTGCAGGTGCAACGCTCTTACTTGTTGTCGTTATTTTTACTTGTTTTTCAGATCCCACCCTGAAGGCAACTGAATGACTATAACTCTGCAAGCAAGTCACTAGCTGCTAGCTCTCTTCTCGTGTTTACTTTGTTTGTTGTTGGGATTTTCGTTGTAGAGCAAGTTTCATAGACGTCTCCACATAGTCCACGGCTAGCTGTCCTTTTTTCAGTCTTTCACAGTTGTGTCACCAGCCGAAGTGACGCGACGCCAACTCCACTTGGCCGCCCAGTTGCAACCATACTTTCCCCACTTGGCGGCAATGAAGGACGGCCTGGAGGGCCGAACATCGTGAGGTTGCTCCAATTAGTTGGGGCAAACCCTTTAGAGGCAAACCCTGGAATGAGAGTACAATGTTTATGTCAGATTCTCAAAGATATTGAAGGTTTAAGAACACGGGACGCCACGCATGATTCACCACGCTTCGCGAGAGTTCAAGTGTTCGCAGGATCATTGGATTCGCCGGTTGGAGCACTATGATGCTGTCGATGAGGAATCGCGACAAATCCGAGATCATTTGCTCCAGGAGCCAACGAGGTCGCCCGCGAGGTCGCCTCGATTTGCGGAAGAATTGGATCATTTTTGGGGGTGTCGAGGCCGGTTCACTAAACGTCTCTTCAGTGCCAATCAGTGCCAAAAAGATTCACCACAGACCAGGTAATCGCAACTCCATTCACGCAAGGGTCGACCGAGAAGGACTCTGAATTTGGTCGAGGATTTTTCTAGTAAGGAGCTAGTAGCTTCTTGTTACGAGTAATGGCCTCCACCCTAAGGGCGATGGCCTCCAACCTAGTATCGTCCTTGCTCCCAGTAGCGATGCCCTTTGTTCCTAGTAGCGAACATTGCTCCGTTCGTAGTGAGGCCAGGAGCCCCGATCGTAGCGTCCTTGCTCCTAAGAGCGATGCTCCAGGAGCCAAGCTTTCAAGGCTTTTGGCCCGACGTGCGCATCATTTGTTCACGTGGCGAGGAGTGGTCTGCTGTTTGAGCCTTAGATCTCACTTGGCACCCGCGGATGGACCCATCCCTTCTGATGAAATCCGGACCGTCTCTTTGAGACAAACACGTGTCTCACTTGTCCAAGAAATGGAATGAAGATGAAGGAACCAGGTCGACCTGTCGTTGTCTAAAGGACCCCTTTCTCCTGACCTCTTGACACGGCGCGGACACGCCGCGGCACCGATCGGCGCCGTGAGGCGGTCTCGGCACCGACCAAGCACACGCGAGAAAACCGCTGGGATCGAGTCTTTCAGGTGGAGCCTTCCATCCGATCGAAAGGAGTGGAGGGCAGAAACGAACAGGTTTTTTGACGAGAACATGCCAGTTTCTGACGAGAACATGTTTGGTTCTCCAAAACAAACGGTTTGATCGCTGTTTTTTATATGTCTTTATATGTTCTGTTTCATCGAATGGTCCGTGTCTCGGTGGACTTGCTTCCCAAACTCGTGGTCCCATGTCCCGGTCGTTGGTCCCAAATCGCCCACTCGAAGCCGAAGCACCTTCAGTTGTCCTCGTGGGACCTGGAAACCGATGTGGAGAACCGTTGTTTAGCTTCAAGTGTGGGAACTCGAGTGGGAACTGAGATGATGTGGCAAAATCGTCACGAGAAACAGATGAGAAACAAAAAGGTGGACATGAAACAACAATGTGAAAATCCATTTTAACATGTCAATTCGTCCGAAACAATTATGGTATTCCATTGTGTGTGGAGAAAGTGTCAATCTGTTTTTTGTCTTCACTCGCCGGTCTTCGGGCTCAGATGCTCATGACTCATAACTCATAGAACATATATCGATACGAAGCTAAGGTGGTATTTCGATCGCAACGGCAGTGAACAGCACATGTGTTGATATGTCTTGGATATCATTGTTTTTACAGCTGTGACATCGGCCACGGTATGTGTTGGAAGGAAAGGAAGAAAGGAAGGGAAAAGAGAAGGGTATTAAACGTTTATTATTATAGAAGAAGACATATATAGAAGACAAATCGGAAGGTATAAAAGGAAGATCTAGTCTAGAAAGGTCTCAAGAAAAGGAAAAAAAGGGACAGAAACCTGTCCTTCTGGCTCCGTTGGCAGCTCCGTTCTCGCGACTTTCACCAGGTCCTGAAGCTGCAACTGACCTTTGCGCGGGCCATCGGCGATTCCCCCGCCGCGGTGGGCGGCATCTTGCAGGACCGGACCTCCGCGGTACCGGCGTGGCACCGGATCGGGCGATCGCCCAGGGCATCGCCGTGGCGCTGTTGGAAATGGCCAAGCAGAGCGCCCGGGCGCCCCGGGCGGACACCCGGGCCACATTGCCAACAACACAAAGCCATATCAAGCAATCCACTATACATGACCACCAAGTGAGTCGTTGCTGGGATGCCAAAGATCTCCAGTTCGTGACTTGGTTTCGTTGAAATCATCCCGGAGATAGACTCACTATGTATAGACGGACGTGTGACATCAACATAATATGTTATAACATATACAATAATTTATACTACTAATTCATGCAGCAGGTCCTGCTGCATAATATCATCATATGTATACACTACTCTCCTTTAAACCGGGGGCCCTCGTCCCTTGGAACGAGGCCGAAAAGCCTGAAAAGCCCGATGAGCTGGACGAGATCGCCACGGTGGACGATCGACCAGTCGATTCCCAAAAACCGGTCGATCAGTCAGTGGCGGTCAGCTCTCAGTGCAGAGGTGTTACGGCTGAGAACTGCATAGCTCCATGATCTTTCTTGTATCAGGAGTCAGGAAGCTCCATGTTCGCAGTTTGTGCTTTGGACTTCCAGAAAAACAGCGCAGGCCATGCAGTCGCGTGGGCCAAAAGCAGATCAAACATGCCAGGAGCTTGATTGCTCCGACGTCCATTTTGGATCAATTGGTCGGCGTGTAATAGGCAGCTAGTGCTCATGGTGTTCCGGGATCTGCATGGAGCGGTCGAAGGCGCAAGGTGTGCAGATGTGTTCAGATGTTGAAGAGAGTAACATAGGCACATAGGCATCTGAAAGTCAAGCCTGGGTTGAGATGTTCAACATGTTACACATCACAGGTCCAGATGTTTAACTCATCTTCAGAGTTGACACTTAGACACATAGGCTTCACCTGATGGCAGCTCTGAGGCCTGAAGAAAGCACTTTGGGCAGCGGATGCAGCCACAAAGATGCTCCCAAGGAGATCCCTTTGCAGTTCATCCGAAACACGCCATCCTATGGAATGCCATGGGACTTCCTTTTGAAGTCCGCTGAAAGACAATAGTTTTCCACCCAGGAGTGCGCAGCCTTCTCACAACCTGATTTAGATTAGAAAACACACCATATTTGGGGAATGCAGAAAGCACAGCCATTTCGATTGAACATTTCCTGCTCGCATTTGCTTCTCACCATTTGCTGCTCGCAACAAACTTTGGCCAGCACCATATCCTCTTGGTGGGCGCAACTAGCTGCTCTTGAAGCTGAGTGGCTTTTAGAAAAGCATGTGGAGGCCCGAGAAGCATGTGGAAAGCAAGCATTCACAGGACTTGTTGGGACAAATTGGAAGCCCTCTCCTCTCACCTTCGTTGCTGGGTAATTAGTTGGATTATTTTCTTTTGAAGGGGCTAGTTATTGGTACATCACACGTGTTCCTGCTTGAAAGGCGATTGTGACTGCGACTTGCAGAAAGTAGAGATTGGATTTGGAATGCCGTCAGCGTTTTTGGGCTCGATGGTGAGACTGGAGCATTATACTTTTGATCTCGTCCTCTCATCATGTTGCGTTTGACGTGTTCGACGTTCTTGGTCGGCATGGTGATTCCGATGTGGGCAGAGGAGACCTGCAAGGAAGGTGAGGGCTCCGTGCTGATGCAGTTGAAGCATGGAGACTTCCCTGGATGTTGCACGTTTTGCATTTGATTTGACATGGGTCCACTTGGGCACAGAAGATTTGATCGTGGATGCCGGCTGCTACGCCCTAGAGGTGAACGAGGCAATGAAGAAGCCAGAGGGCACCATTCCAGATAATGTTCGTCCTGGTTATTTCTGCGGTCGTGCTAATGCCCCTCCAGCAGCACCTGCTACTTTGGAACCAGTTGAGTTCAAACACTGCAAGGACGTGAAAGTGGGATAGACACGAGTTCCACTGGACATGCTCAACTGCTGGACCGAAGGATGGCATCTTGACAGATGGCTTGGGTGGTGTATGGTGGTGTTTTTGCTCGTGATTTGAACCCATCAGTGCTGGTGCGTGGACAGGCCTGTCGCACTGTCAATGAGGACAGCCAGAAGTATGAGAGTTTCAACACCACATAGCGTGAACCGGTAACTGATGCCACAACAAGCAGCGCTCTCCTTTCGAAGTGACCTGGCATGTCGACCGACATGACAAGATGTGCCGAGAGAATGATGCGCAACCAGCCCTGGAGAATGATGTGCAACCAGCCCCATCTCGCAAGATCGTGGCACCCTTCATCTCGGACGCCAATGCGACTATTCTCGAGCCCTCAACCTCTACAACCCCACCGACATCTACAACATTAGGGGGGCGGAGCGGAGCGAAGCGTAGAGCCTTGAGTGACAGAGAGATGAGATACATTTGACTGACGTTTTTGTAGTGCTGGATCTTTGGACGAGTAGTGGGTAGTACCAAGCAGGTTCCAAAAAAGGAATGTTCATATCTCTGATCAACATGGAGGATGTCTCTGATGACAATATGTCTACCGACTCAATCAAGCAGACTTTAGTCGTGTTGGGGGCTGTTTTGGAGCGGAGCTGGCCACAGTGGAGCAGACACACTTGGATCTGACAAGCCATAGTCGCTGAACATCACAAGTGTAAGACGTTGTTTTGTGGAGATACCGGATATGATATATACCAGGTTGCTCACAGCAAAGCTGACAGCGATATTTTTGTTGACGCTAGGTTGAAACTACCAGCAGCCATTTGGCACATAGGATCGTTGTTTGATTTGGACGGCTGCCGGTGCCGGTGTGGCCCCTAGAAAGTCCTTGCGCAGCTGTCTACATTGGTTTCCTTGAATTCATATGCAGTTCTTGGCTGTCGCCTCCCGGTGCTTTCCTCATAAAGATTCAGATGCAAGTTGCTTGGTGCAAGATGAGTTTTGTTTAACCCTTTGATTTTGAGACCGCGCTGCTCAACTATGCTCAGGGACTCCGAGATTGGTAGGCTTCAGGTTCCCGCAATGGCAGCGGTACTGCAGTTCCCTGCGCAGAGCATATAGCAACATCAATCCCTTGACATTTGAAAGTCGCGGAGTGTGCCAGAGCGCAGAGGAAGAAAAAATAATGCTTCCCCATCAGCTCAGACTGTGCGTGTTTCTTGCTCGCGATGATTCGATCCGCTTAAGCGAACCCTGTTGAAGGAGCAGGATCGTGAGATACAAAGGCACCATTGACTCCAGTTGGTATGTATGTGTGCAAAGTAGTCTTTGAGGGAAGACATTGTTTAAAGCAGCTGACCTGGCAAACTATTCCAGCGAGGCAGTCAACCTTGAGGCCTTCAGGCAAGCAACTCCCCTTAACTTTCCTGTAAACGCACCCGACGAAGAAAATGACAGGTTCCACTGAGTTGGCTAGTCAGTTAGTCTTGGGAAGATTTGCAGGCGCATTCGCGAGTGCAACGCCTGCAAACAGACTGGGACAGGCAAGCTAAGCCATTGAATTTGTGTATGGTCATGTGGCTTACGTGTGAATGTGTCCAGCATCATGTTTTGGTTTGCATGTCAGTTACTTGTTACATGGCAACAGCTCAACGTCCTCGTCCTCAATAATAATATTCGAGCATTTGGTGCAGCAAGTTTGGCCGAGATTTGTCCCGGCACACAGAAAGACTTTCTATTACGTTCAAGCAACAAGATTAAATGTTCCATTGAGACAAGGTTGTATTGCGGTAGAGATACGCCAGAAACTGCATTCACCATCAACTTCCTCAGAACAACCTGTCGGAATTGGTGTCACATGTCGACTTAAAGTCCCGCCAGTTAGCCAGGTTTTGTCCAGATCAGCCTGTTTTGATGCTGCGTTTGGAAGGGACTGCCGCCCGACTATATGCTCAGCAGGCGGGTATTCCTCACGGTCGACGGGAAGCGAAAAAATAGAAACAGTGACCGTTGTTCATGATTTTTTTCAATAAATGGCCTCGAACTTACTAGCCATGGCCTCCAACCTAATTACTAGCGATGGCCTTCAACCTACTAGTATGGCCTCCAACCTACTAGCAATGGCTTGTGACAAAACTCGAGAAGGAGCCAGGGCCGCGAGGGGTCTAATTCAGATGGAACAAACAAGGAATTTAGAACCTGTTGGGAGAGAAAATAACAATTTGTGTATTCGGAATACAGTACATTGGTGATTATGCGATGACACTGGGTGGCCTGGTTGCAGAAAATTGTGGCAAAACTTTCTGCTGGATGGGCAGGGCGATTGGGCTTCTGCTGCTATGCACACCGAGAGGTGCCGGTCGCAAGCTTGGCTTCGTTTGCCTGTTGTTGTCACTTCAAAAGCCGAAGCCTGTGGCTCCAGAACTTTCGACTTTCAGCATTGTGAGGGTGGTCAAAGCAAGGGATTTCAAGTTGGTCTCTGAAATAGTTTCAACGAATGTAATGTTTGCAGCCGCTCTCCCAAAATGAAGAGTTGCATGGAGCTACAACAATTGTATGAAATAGGGGGTCCACGACTCCGTTCGGACTCAAGCCTGGAGCAGCACTACCTTCCCCAAATGAACGCAGTACCCCTTTGCTGGAGGAAGAATATGTAAGATTCCATGGGCCTCTAAAACAGCTGTTCTCAGAAGTTACTTTTGTAATACAATGCAAGACTTTGTTCATCAATTTCCCTACATTGCTTGGGGACGTCCTGATCCATCCAATCGCAGGTGTTGCGCCTTGGCGGAGCGCGCCTTTGGCCGCACCCATGGTGCCACCATTGCACTCCGCGCACCACTGGGAGATGCGACTCGGATCAGACGGGGTAAACCAGGTCGTCAGGTCGTCCTAGATGGGCGATCAGTTCGTGGGGGGAGGCCATGATCTTAAACAAATCCTTTAAGAAATCTTCAGAGCCGCAGCATGACAGTCAGCAAAAAAGATGTCATTTTATTTTTGTGTCTTTGTTGGTAAAGTTCATGATAAAATTCCATTAATATGTGTGTTATTCTTTTGTCATGGTTCTTGTTTTTTAGCAAGAGAGAAGAGGCCCGTTGGACCGTTGGAGCACCGTGCCAACTGATCAAAGTGCGGTGCGAAGGCTCGGACAGGAGCCCCTAGTAGCGTTCTTGCTCCTAGTAGCGATGCCCTTTGCTCCTAGTAGCATCCTATGGTTAGTGGTAAGGTGAAGACATCTCGTTCTAAGTTGGAAACCGTTCTCCTGTCAAAGCTGGGATGCTCCCATGTGTGCTGTCCGAGCCCCTTCGGACAGACAAGAGACCGGTGTTGTTTCTGCTAACAGGCTGTAACTAACAGGGAATACTTAGAATGCTTCTTTGTCTTTCGCTTCGGGGATTCTGTAGGGGCAGTGAAAGACAATACATATTGACTTCCACATGAGGTTTGCGGTCTGAAGATCTAGAGAGCTCAGTGAATCTCTAACGGATTTCGATCTGTAGTTTCTCTAACGGATTGCTTTGCCAAGGCTTGGTCAAGAAGGGAAGATTGGGACAAAGCTGTTGCTGTCAAACCTGCGTGCTTCTCTCAAAGTCGACTTCTTTTGATCGATGTCCTAGTAGCTTCTTGCTCCTCATTCGAACATGTGAAATGGTCAAATCCGCATGCCTTCCGCTCCTGGAAGTCAATTCTGCTCTTTGAGCGGAAGAGTTGTGCCAGGCATATCAAGAAGCTTACTCGGTGGCGCAGGCCCATATGCACTCACGGAACCGCATCTTGATCAAGCTTTTCGAGCTTTTCTCCAGTCTTGCGAACATGTGGGACATGACAGGTTCGATTCTTATGAAAGTCACGCGATTACATTATATCCAAGTTTCAAGGACGTTCATTGTTCCGAGAAAACATGGCTTGACATGTCACCATGTGTGTCCAATCAGCAAAGATCGGGGGCAAAACACGGTGGTACCAGCCTCAGCGACCAACGGTAGGACCAGCCTCTGGAGGGTTGTGGTGTTTTCAGGCGGTGCGTAGTGTGCGTAGTGTGCTGTTTCTTGTTTGTTTGTTTTTTTTTCCGTTCGCAGGTTGCTCACGGTGACGTGGGGTTTCCGGCGATTTCCAAAGAACAAGCCTGACCTCATCAGCTGAAAAAGTTATCACGTGACATGTTCATCGCACAAATCGCATTTCTAAAAGATAGACGTCATATACAAGTCTTTGTTTAGCGCAGTGTTTAAAAAGTAAAAGCCATCGTCCTGTCATGGCATCACATGGCTCGGGGCGGAACGAAACGCACCGGAGTCGATCCGATCGACATCCCATCGATCCGGTGCATCGTTCGGCTTCAGGTGTGCAGCGATGAGAAGACCACCGGAAGATTGGCCTTCGAGTTGGCCCAGGTGAGTCGGAACGCACGCGGCGCGGCGCACGGCGCACACTCGTGTGCGTGCACACGACAACCCCAGGGGGGGGGGCCAAGCTGGCTCCACGGCCGGGCCGGTGCCGGACATGTCCTGAGCTCTGACAGTACCCTTTGAGGATCTCCCAGGATCTCCGATGCGTTCGAAAGGTCGCAACCGCTGAGGTGCTCTTCTTCAAGGGAGACCTCACGGGGGCCAAGGGCTTTGCGGAAGATGCAGTGAAGCTGCTGCTGGTCAGCATTAGAGTGCACTCTTAGGCACATCCTTAAGCACACACATTCAGTTTGATGAAGTCAAGCGCCGAACCCCTGACACGGAGGGCGAAAACCCCAACGTTTGAGCCCGCTAGTGTGGTTGGCGTCGCTCTTCCGTTCCAGTTTGTCATGAGGTTGATTCCTTTGGAACTGGGTTCGGAGCCCCAGAGTGAGCATCGAGTTGCTTGTTGATCGGACATGCAGGATTCTCACCTGACGGTGAGAACTAGCCGGGCTCAAGACATTGGGCATGGCAGACAACGACCCAGTAGCCTTCACCTGAGTCGAAGCCTTTCTCGCGCTTCGAATGGCCCAGGGCGAAGCAGCGGCCAACTGAGTGGCACGTCCTTTGAAGCCTTGACGCTTTTGTCCAAGGTGATCCGCTTTTCGTCCGCCGTGGTGCGTTTCTGTGTCAAATTCAGTTGTCGCAGTAGGACTGAATCCAAAGAGACAGAAACTGGAAAGTATTTTCTTTCCATAAAAGCTATAGATGGGTGCTTTCTTTGGCCTGATTTTGAGTGGATTGGATTGAGTGCTGAGAAATACTTTGTCAAGACTGTCGCACGTTGGCCGCCTGGATTCAAGAAGGTCACAGATGCAGATCTGTAGATTTGATGTTTGTCCGCAGCTTGGCGCTGTCCAAGGAATCATCAAGGCCCATAGTGCCACAATGAAAAGATCATGGCTTTGTCATGAGAACATTTTGACCAGTGAGAGGTCTACGAAGACTTGTGTCAACGTTTCTTGGAGCTGCATGAGACCGAGCAGGCACGTGGGACGGGTTCAGTGGGCTGAATAAATGCGAGGCCATCGCTACTAGGGCGGAGGCCATCGGTATTTGGTCGTCGACTCCGTTGGCTTCCACTCTCTCCAGTCGAGCGTCCGGCCAGGCGGAGGTGAGCCCTGCCATGCTTCAGGCGAATGCGATGCACCAAGATATGCGCACGGCGTGAAGTGTTGATATTCCGTTGCCCTGAGCTTGCTGAAGACGGAACTTGCCAAAATATTGCTGACTTTTGTGGGTTCAATCTCCCCGTAACGTATTGTGGGATAACAATTCAGGAGTGTGGAAGTGGTGACGCAGCCTGGTTTGTGTCAGAAGCGTGTGGCTTCAACATGTGCTTCAAAACACCTCGGGAGGCGCTCGTCTCAAAGGCCATCAAATGCTTCGAGACGGTTCTCAAGAACTTGCCTGCCTCTGAGCAGGCACCGCTGCGACGTTCCGCCAGTGATAGGCTCATCTCCACGAAGTGCCACCTGGAAGTCTCCCTGAAGTTCGTGTAACTTCCAGAGCTGGGCCATCCATTTCCCCATCCACCTGCAATACTTTCTCTTTTGAACACCTGTCCAGACTCTCAGGCACCGCGGCGAGCGGGGGTGATGTCGCGAGCCGCGCAGATCGTGCAGTCGGTGCTGAGACTGAAGGTCCGTCGACGCGGGGGGTGCTGAGTGAGGAAGGAGTCGGGGGCGTTGACATGGCGTTGCCCCCCCCCACGCACCGAAGAGAACGTTCTGCCATGTTCTGCCAATATTTGAGGAGCGCTCTTGCACCCTTTGTTTTAGAGTCATAAAGACGTGAAATTACAACGTAGAGTGAGCCTTATATAAAGTCAAGCGCCGTCACTGAAGGGTCTTCACGGCAAACCTCTCATTCAGGCTCAAAGAATATGGGCTCAAAAAGCATGAGAAGGCAAGGGCGCTACTGTACTAGGGGCCCCTGGCATCGCTACTAGGAACAAGAGGACGCTACTAGGACCTTTTCGCGCGCGCACATGTGCACTGCCATTTCGTGGGGTCGGGCAGTTCAGTTTAAGGCGTTGGAGTGAGGCGTGTGACGCTGAGGTCATGGGCCTGGGTGATAGTGAATACTCAGCTCGGAGGCCTAGATGAAGCCGTGCCAAGAGATCGAGTTCTTCGTTTCAGCAAGGCAGCAAGGATGATGTTGAGTGTTTTGTTGGTTCAACCTGCATGCATGTTTGTTTTTTTCAATGTTATTCCTTTTCTTCCTCCCTTGCCTTTCTGTTCCTTCTTTTTCTCCTCGTTCTTTGACTTGTTCTTACCTTTGCAAAGTCCTACTATGCAGTGTATCGCACAGGCACAGCGATGGTCGGTCGATTCTCCTTTTTTCTTCCGTCGCCTCCGAGAGGTCTTCGTCGGTCGCCACCGAGGTCTTGGTGGATGCCGTGGAGGAGCTCTTGCTGCATGCTTCGGTGCGCGTCTGCGCTCCGAGGGTCGTTGGACGAATCTTCAAAACGGGCATGGAAGAAGAATGAACGAACATGTCATGACATGCGCTCTTCATCCATAAACTTCTGTATCATCCACCTACTTCAAGAGTGTCTTCTTCTATTTCGGCTCATGGTCCAATGGTTGTGGACTCAAGAAGTTGACGCTCGTTGGCGCATGGAGTTGTATTGTTTGGTTTCAATTTGCTCAACGAGTTCACACGAAAATTGGGCAGTCACTGAGTGAGTATAGTTACGAACGTCACCGGTCATGATGCGTGATTCTGTGTGATTACTTGTCATGTTGAACAACAAGTGGCTGGAGACCATGGAGCTGATACAGATCTTGAGGTCTCAAGTGGTTGGAGTAGCATGATACAGCCATGGAGCTAAGAAGGTCTGGCAATGAGTTTGAGGCCCTGGCTGCTTTGTCTTCTTTTGCTGGGAGTTGTACTGGGATTTCTGCAGCAGTACCAGATCCCATTCAACCGCCTTGGCCTTTCGAAGGTCGGAAAGGGTCTTGATGGCTCTGCTCTCAAGTTCGCCTGTGCACAGCAGGACTTGAAGGCTTTGCTGAGCGAGGAATGCACGAACATCTCCAGCAACACACGGAATGCTGCAGTGATCGTTGAGACTCGTGAGCATCAGATGCTTCCTTATGTAGTGGCCAACATGGCAAGTTCCCTGCCAGATGATTGGATCATCTACTTGTTTCATGGAAATGAGAATTCACATTTTGTCCGGAGTCTTCCTGAGTTGCAGAAGTTCCATCAGCTTGGGCGGCTGGAGCTAGTTTCACTCCGAGACTCAGCAAGACGCTTTCAAGAGATGGTGCAGAGCAAGCGTGGTTTTTACAACTGCTTGCTGAAGTCTCCGGAATTTTGGAGCTGTAGTGCCGCGGAGAGCATTTTGATCTTCCAAACTGATTCGGTCTTGTGTGGTGCTTCGCCATATGAAATCAACGACTTTCTATCATATGACTACATTGGGGCTCCTTGGCCAGATGGCCATGTAGGCAACGGCGGCTTATCTTTGCGCCGGAGGAAGAAAATGCTGGAGCTGACTCAGAGAAAGTGGTTAAAGGTGGAGCCGGAAGCAGAAGACTTATTCTTCTCAAAGGCTGGGAATCAAAGCCACTTTCATTGGGCACCCTTGGAGCAGGCTCAACGTTTTTCAACTGACAATCTCTACAATGAATCTGTTGGCGCTTAAGCTGCAGTTAGCACTGCATTTGTGTGATGTTCTTCTTAATGTTGTTTAATGACCATCCCCACAACACCGGCCACAGCCGAGGCACGCCTTTTGGTGTCCACCAGCCGGATGCACTCCAGTTCGGTGACGCTGGAAAGCTGTTGGAACATTGTCCAGAAGCAAAAGCTTTAGTGGGCCCCATGTCTGTCACCCTCTTTTACAACCGATATTTGTTCTCCCACGTGCACTGGATTCGCCAACGGCCTCTTGCAGCTTTGTCCATCCTATTGGCTTTGATGGCCGTCGGCGTCAGAGGGCGTGTCATGGAGTGTTGCCAACACTCTTTCCGCGGAGAAAATCGCACTTTGTGAGTTGGTCGCTGAAAGAGTGATGGCCACTGGTCGCTCTCTTCGCTCTCGGTGTCGACGCACAGGGAGAATGCGAGGATGGAAAGGCTGCGAACAGCTGTGCTGGCGACCAGATAGACGACTGCGGAAGTGGAAGTGAACTCAAAGGCCAAGAAGGTGTGTTCCAAAAGGTCTTGCAAAGAGGACTTCACACCATCCAATCCAAGCTCTTCAAGCTCCAGCTGACGCTGCAAGAAGACGACCAGCTTGTTTGTGGCCGGACGTGGACGGGGTGAAACGGGGGTGAACATCGGTCAAACACAGACGAACTGAAAGGAAGCATCAACGCAATAAAGAAACAAGTAAAGTCAGCACAAAGATGTACAGGTTAGTACAGTTAATGTGTGTTTTCTTGAGCACTACACAAACACTTGTCAAGATATGATGTGTGTGTGAACATCACTTTGTTGAACTCAATGGCTTCGAATTTGAGTTCATGCAGCAAGATCGACTAAAAAGCAGACCGTAGCATCAAGAAGTACATGTGGCACAAAAGGGTGCGACGTTTTGACAAGATCACAAAAGGCCTTTCACCTTGTTAGATATCCACACTCAACGCAATCATGACAGCTCAAAGGAATGATCCTTTTGGGATTATCCAGCTTATTCACTCTTCATATCTCTTCAAAACGTTGACAGATCAAAGGATTTTTCCATTGATCCCAGACGGCGGCTTCGGCTGGAACGACTCTCCACCCTTTCCGACACCGAGCGTTTCAGCTCGGCAGGTCTCCGAGACGGCGTCCGCCTTGCAGCGCGCCATGAGCCAGGAGTCCGGGACGAGTGGTTCGTCGTTCTTCGGCGTTCGCAGAACGCGAGAGGAGATGGATGAACTGGTTCCCTCGCCCCCAAAAAAACACATGGGACTACCAGGAAGGGGTTCACCTCTCGTGCACGGTTTTGGGTCTTCACCCACGTCGCTGGCATCGCCGAGCGATGCCCTACCCAGAGAAGGCGTCACCGTGAAAAGAGCTACTGGTAGGCCTTTGCTACTAGCAGCGTCCTTGTAAGGGCAGGAGCTACTAGTAGCGCCCTTGCTCAGAGGGTGATCCACAACGTCGAGTTGTTTTTTCCCACTAAACCTCCTTGGACAGACTCGTGGTGTTCGCCAGCTCCAACCTCGTGTTGGAGCCTCAGTTTGTCCACCGGAGATGTGTTTCCCGACATCTGGACCTTTGTCTTCTGACGCTGACTGCGCCCACTCTCACTCTGACTCTAGCTCTCACTCATACTCAAAACGCCCACACTCACTCTCATGTGTATGCTCTCTAAACTGCTTTCCCGACATCTAGACCTGACATGGGTTCTCATTCTCACTCACGCTCACACTCACGCGCTCATTCACTCACTTGCTGCGTGCTCCGGTGACTGTGCTCTCAGATGTTTGCTCTTTAGACTTCTGTAGACCTCTGAACCTCTAGCTTGTTCTCAATGTGTGTGCTCTTCTTTAGACTCTTGTTTCTAGAGCGATCTGGCGTGGTTACACCCAGCTATTCTTTTATCCGGTGCACGTGGTTTGGTTCCACCCAGCTACTTTTGGCAAACTCGGTTTCTATCTAGAGCAATCTCTACTTGTCTATGCTTTTTCTGTTGCAGGGGCGCCTGGCGTGGTTCCACCCAGGTGCTCGCGGGTGCTTCACCTCCTCCTCCTCCTACCATTTCCTCCTACTCTATTCGGGTTTAAGCCTCACCTTCTACTTCCTACCACTTCGTGCTGGGCGCTGCTCTCTACTTCCGCCTCCCCTGCGCGCATCCCTTGACCCCTAAGTACGTTTGATATACACTCTACACTGTTTGGGGTCTCTTGCCGGGATAATGTGTTTTTCTTGGAGACCGCGCGACTACTCACGCTTGCTGCTGAAATCAGTTGTGGTTCAGATGATGAAAGCTTTATCCCCAAGACGTGCAGGCTTCCAAACACACAAAATAAGACTCCTTTGGCTTGGCTTTTCCACTGACCACTCTTAAACCACACAAATAGTAAAAAGCATAAGGAAGGTTCTGTTTGTTTTTGGAAAACAAGCGTAAAACATCCTCAAAATGCATCAAACACGTTTTCAAAAAATAGAACTCCAAAGCTCTTCGGCGCCACGCCGCCTTCCCAGGCCGAGACGCGCGCGGTGGCCGAAGCCGCGCTGCGGCCGGTGGAGTTGGAACACGCCGAGGAGGTCCCGGTGAAGCTCATGGAGCTCTTCGAGGAAGTCGCCCGCGAGGCCGATGCAAACGAGAAAAACCATGGGAACAGAGCCCTGGCATGCTAGGAGCGACGCTGCTAGGGGCTCCTGGCCGTACTACTAGGAGCAAGAAGCTACTAGTAGCAAGGGCATCGCTACTAGGAACAAGGAGCTACTAGGGATGCTTCATTTCTTGAAAGACATCTAATTAGGCCCCGGCATGGTTGTTGAGGGTGGAAGAAGGCGGTGGAAGGAAGATGTATTTGTTGGGTACCAAGCTTTCTCAAGCACGTTTTTGAAGATACCGAAAGAGGGTATGGTTTGGGTGATGTCAGTGCCGTGTTTTGCGAAGCAAGCGGTTTAGACGATGTGTTTCTTCATCGTGCGTTTGGTCGGTTTCAGTTTCGGCTCAGTCATGGAGCCGATCTTCCAAGTGCTTTGCTTCGCAGCTGCTGCCAAGACCTGTCACTGCCTGTTTTTGGCCTACAAGTTCTTCTTCCGTCCAGGGAAGGCGGGGTGTTTTCAGATCAAGAGCGAAATGTTTGCAAAAAGAGGCACATTGGCCCTAAGCAGGTGCATCTGCGGTAGGTAGATGCACAATGTTGCACATCATTTGCTTCTGAAGCTGCCACCGGGATTTAGAGTCACCACACTCATATCAGGTTCCATTCATGTGTTCCCTCCTAAAACAGCCGATAACCCAGAGGCCTTTGATACAAAGAACAGACTGACTAGTCAACGATAACTTCTAGACTTCATCCGCCCAGACCTGGCCAGACAAATTCGGGCCTTTCTGCGCCACCAACCTAAGAGCAATGGCCTCCAACCTAGACCGGGCCAGACTCTACTGAGCCACCCAATCCGTAGGATTTGCGGCAGTATGGCGAGTGGGCGGTGATCACAGGGGCCACCGATGGCATTGGCAAGGCCTATGCCTTTGAGCTGGCGCGCCAGGGGCTCAACGTGCTTCTCATTGCCAGGAACCCGCGCTGACTTCACACGTTGAACTCGCGTTCCTCACTGGTGGATGAACTCGCAGTTTGTCGTGGAAGAAGCTGCAGTAGCAGCTAGGGTTCGACCAGTGAAGACAGCACTTTCATGTCGGGAATACGAACGAAGAAAGTGTTCAAATTTGTGTTGTTTCTTTCTTCGAGCCTTGGTCAACGCACCAGTTTAACCAGTTCTTTAGTAACGCACCAGTTTAACCGGTGCTTTAGCAAAACGGGAGCTGGAAGCTTGAAAAGAACACGAAAAACCCATGAAAAGGACGTGAAAAACCCGTGAAAACAGGGTGAAAAACTTGTGAAAATTAGGTCTTGGAAGTTGGGAGGTGAAATGCATCCTTTACGCTAACGCACCAGTTTAACCCGTCCTTTGGACCTGCTGGGCTTTCGCTCTTCTGTAGAACATTACACCTTCCTTTGGCGGAATCACCCGAACGCTTTTCTTCGCCACACCGGTGTTGGGCAACACCTTCCTGGGCGACCGCAGGAGCGAAGAAAAGCTCACTGAGACCGCCCAGGAAATCAAGGCAAAGCATCCGGTGACCGTGGAGCACTTGAAGGCGAGCTGACGAGACGACTCTTCGTCGACGATCAATTTTTGATCATAGTGTTGATATATGATGCACTGGACTGCTGCACAGACGTTGGAAGAAACATGTGGTTCGTTCATCGTCCATCGAGCTTTAGCAAGGATGACATCCATCCTGTAGGCCATCGCTCATAGGTATGGAGGCCATCGTTAGTAGGTTTGGAGGCCATCGCTCTTATGTTCCATTGCTACTAGGAGCAAGGACGCTAAAGATCGGGGCTCCTGGCCTTACTACTAGGAACAAGAAGCTACTAGGAGCAAAGGGCATCGCTACTAGTAACAAGAAGCTACTAGTATTGCTACGAATTAGGTTCCTTTTGAATGATGGAACTGGTGAAGTATCGCCTTGCAGTGAAGCCTTGAACGGGGAGAAAAACCAGGTGGACTTCTCGGACTTCAATGCGGCACAACGGAACGCGGTGAAGGAGAAGTTGGTGTCGATGGATGTGGGAATTCTGATTAACAACGTGGGCTTGTCCTATCCTTACACCAAGCACCTAGGCTAATGGGTTTGCAGACGTTTCTTGCTTTGCATGGTGTTCTTTCCTGCTGGGCAGTCTGGGCAGCCCTGCAGTTATCCAGTTATCCATCTAAGGACTCAACTCCCAGGATCTCCCAGGTGACAAGAAGCTAGTAGTAACAAGTGCCACGCTAGTAGTAACAAGTGCCTTACTAGTAGTAACAAGAAGCTATTAATTTAAACTTAATTCTAATACCTTTTTGTTACTACTAGTAAGGCACTTGTTACTACTAGCGTGGCACTTGTTACTATAGTTCTCCAATTGGACTCTTCAGATTCCTTTGTTACCCTTCAAACACGAGAAGCTGGATCCACCGTCCATGTGGGACTGTGGATCGCACCATCCATTTGAACGAAGTCCAAATGCAAAGTGTTTCGAGACTCATCGCTCGAGACTCGTCGAGTTCTTAAGCGCCCTACTCCGGTGCCAACTGGCCTCAACGGAGCGCAGATGAACGGCCGATGTCGTTGGCCGAAATTTGAGGTACTTCCACGAGTTGAAGGAGCAGGAAGTGGGTGACATTATGGAGGTGAACATGGCTTCACTGACATGGATGAGCCTTTGTTGGCTGATAAACCGAGAAACCCATCGAATGAGGACCTTGCGTAGCATGTTATAGCATGTTATATCCGCTTATGATGTGGCTGCAAGGATGTTCTCCTGATGCAAGCACCACTGGTACTACCTGAACACATCTGAACACTAAGAAGACTATAGAAGCTGATACCCATAACATGTCCCCATGTTGCTATTTGAGAATGTCACCTTCGTTCCAAGGACCCGCTTGGTCTTGGGCGACGAGAGCGGAACTCCGGGGATGCTCTCCCGGCGGCGGGGTGCCATCGTGAACACCAGCAGCGGCTCGGCGCGCGCCACCGCGCCGCTGTTGGCGGAATATGCAGCGGCCAAGGCCTATGTCGAGAGGTGGGCGACGCAAGCGATTTGGAGGTGTTCAGCAGATCCGAGCGAAACTGTTGGTTTGCACGCTTTAAGAAGAAGGGGGAAAAGGCAGGCAGGAAGAAAAGGCCAAAAAGTGTGCTGATGCCAATGCTAGTCCAAACTCTTGGGATTCAGCAGATCTTTCACATGAAAAAATAATACATGCGGAAGATGGGTGGATCAGGGTGGATCTAGTGATGAATGATTGATGAAAGAGCAGGTACAGTGGATCGAATGATGTGGATCGTGCGTGGATCAGCTGGTCCAGTGGATCTTCTCGACTCACTCGTGAGGTTCTCCATGAGTTTGGGTGCCGAGCTGGCCTCCAAGGGCATCGACGTGCAAGCGCAAACGCCTCTCTATGTGACCACCAAAATGGCCAAGATTCGAAAGTCCTCCATCACCGTTCCTGGGCAAAGAGAAGGAGAGAAGCTACTAGGGGCTCCTGGCCGTACTACTAGGAGCAATGTTCGCTACTAGTAACAAGAAGCTACTTCACAGGTATCCAAAGAAATCATGCTTCTTCCATAGGCCTCCTCCAAGCGTGTTTGTTGTTTTTTGTTACTATAGTAGTAAGGCCAGGAGCTACGTTCGTAGCGTCCGATCGCTCCGTTCGTAGCGATGCCCTTTGCTCCTCGCAGGTCCCATCGCCTCAGAGCTACGTCGCCTGCGCGGCGCGACACATCGGCTACGAGGCGAGGTCGCCGCAGCACGCGCCACGCGCGACGCCCGACGGGGCAACAGGCCAAGCCGAAGAACGCATTGATCTAAACCCTTGTTACTAGTAGCTTCGTGCTATAGGCCCAGTGGACTCTGGCTTTGCCTTGTTTCAAATTTGACAAATGTAAAACGTGATGTTAGTTCTCCAGGAAGTTGGTGAAGTTGCTCGTGTGGCCGGCCTCCCCTGGTCTAAATGGTGCACTCGATGTCGACCGGAAGCCGTCGAGTCGGTGTGGTCGCCCCTGTGAAGGCCGTGATTTCGCCGTGGTGGGCGCATTCCTTGCAACTCTGGGGGCTCTCACTGCTGCCGGAGGCTGTTTCGGTCTACTTCTTGAACTGGCAGCACCAGGAGGGCACAACAAACCTTGGCGGGTGGAAAGAAACAAAGGAATCTGTCCTGCCCAACACCTGGGTGAAACAGATTGAAAGAGTTTTTCATTGACCATAGGGTGGAGGCCATCGCTAGTAGGTTGAAAGCCATCGCAAGTAGTATTTGCTTATCGGGGCCTTTGAAGCGCATTGAATTGAGATGCAGAGCTCGTTGGAGATCTTCAGCAAGCCTTGCGAGAGCCCTGCCCAGGAAATCCGGAGAAAGGGCATGAAAAAGGACAAGGAGAAAGCAGAGGAAAAGAAAGGGCAGTAGAATGCCCGGAGTTGTGCAATAGTGCAGACAGCAGTCTGCGTTCACAGACCTGAGGGTTGCGATGCCTTCGACAAAATGTGTGTGTTTGTGTCTCCGCCAACTTGTGTCTCCACGAGGGTATCAAAAGAAGCACAAAGAAGAAGCTATTGGGCTTCACGACCACTGGGTGCTTGAGCCCGATGTCAAGCTCGTTTTACGCGGCCAGGCATTGATCAATGGCATTCCGCCATCGAATTGGTTCGACCACATGGTGCGTGTCGTGCGGGGGCCTCACAGACGCGTCCAGACAGGCCTCATTGCCTCACGGAGGCCACCAAAACCCACACGGATGCTTTTGCACTGCATGGATGAAACATGCCAATTTCTGCCACGAGTCTATGTTCAACATGAATTCCTGCGAGTAACAAATGCGAATGAACTGCATCTTCTTGTGTTTTTCCTCATCTCCACAAGTTCAGCCCGAAAAACCTGGCTTCACCGACCCGGCTTGCGACCCACGCCATAAGCACGCCGCCCACGGGGCCCACGCAGCCTCGCGCTAGGGCGGAGGGGTTCGCTGGAGCGCCCGTGCCGGGGGACGCCACCTACTTGGCCACGATCCAGATGTTGGAGCTCTGCCGCTTCTTCGGCAATGCGGCACGTGGCTCGGTCGCGTCCCGCCGTCCCCACGGCTGGGTGAGCATGGTGTGTGGGTTCAGTGGAAGCAAGAAGGAAAAGAGAATCCATGAAGAGATGCCTCTTTGTTAGGTAAAGAAGAGAAAAGGAGCACAAAGAGAAAACGATGCTTCTACGTGCTGTGGCCAGGTGTAATCATGTGTGCGACGAGCAGCAGTCAATGAGTCGATGTGAGACGAAGTGAGTTAACGACCTGGACTGGGCCGAAAATGCTTGGAAGATGCCACAAAGCAACGAACGCTTTGCAACGTCAGGATGTCTTGCTCAGGTTCAACGAAGCATCGCAACATGCATGCCATGCATGTGATGTTTCGGAGAGTGGAGAGGTCATGTTTTGAACCAATGGCCGTGTTGCAGAGATGTCGTGTTTTCTGGTGCTTTGTTCGAACCCAACATGTTGATCTCTTCGTGTCCTTCCAAGCCAGTCCCCTTTCTGGAGGGCCTGGTAGGGTTCGAATGGATCAGACTTCGGCCCGAGTTCCGGTGGGCAAGGAAATGGGCTGAGAAAGAACATGAAAGAACAGACGTTTCCTTTATCTGGGTTTTACATGGTGTTAGATGTCAATCTTTAACCATTGGGTTGCATACCCCAACATGTTTGGAAAAGCACTGCAGCCCAAGTTGCACAAACATCTCCCGCCTGCCTGCCAACCAAGTTGTAAATGCCAAGGGCTGCGCAACCTTGTGAAGCAAAGCTGTGCCCCGCCTCCTGCGAAGGAAACGATTTGGGAGATGCGATTGAATGAAGGAGATCCTGATAGAGAAGATGTCGAGCTTTTAGACAAGCGTAAATGATGATTGTTACTGTAGATCTACATATCATATGGTCGTTAACCTATCACGCGCTCCATTCAATGCAACTGAGACCCTCCAGATTCATCCATTCGACTTGCTTTTGGCGCATGCCTTTGTTGCACCCTGTTTCAAGTCGCCTTGGTGGTGGTTCAGGCTCACAGTCGCAAGAAGACCCTACAATCAGTGAGAAGATCTTACAGCAGAATCTGTCAGCAGGTCTTCAATGTCCTCGACGTTGCCATAGGATAACGTTGGGTCTAGGATTCCTGTTTTACGCCCGAGGTTGGGGAAAATCGAACCACGGGTCGCCCCTTGCAAAGCGAGCAACAAAAACCATCCGCCGCACAGGACGGTGCAAAGAGGATTCAGAGAATTGCAATGGATTGCACAACATGGCAATTCAATCCTATGCGTAGCTTTTGGCCATGGCTGCCCTTGCGCTTGGTTCTTGCCTACGAGCCCTGCCAGAACCATAGTTGGTCAGAGCGTGAGGTCCATGGGAAAGGACCCGGACATCGCCAGACGGTCAGACGGAGTTGGCATTTGCGTCCGAATTCTCTACCAGGCTTTGATCAACTGTCATAATTGTCAAGAACTATCCTTTGTCTATAAAAAATGATTGGACTGGTCGAGTTGGAGGTTCCTTCCGGCTAAGGCAAGAACCCACTCTTTGCAGTACATTGGGTGCGCCGGAACGTGCCTGTCGAACGTGCACTCACGGATCGACTGGAGAGAACGAACGCACCAGTGATGTGGCCTCCCCGCGACCAGTCCCGGGTGTTCTCGCAAAGCCGGCTTTGGAAAGTTGACCTTGTCACCGTCACCCAGCCTGGTATCATTTTTTGGTTCATCAAATCAACTGATCGCGATTAGCGTGGAGGCCAATCGCTAGTAGGGTGGAGGCCATCGCATGTGGTAAACCCATGGTTTGGGTAGACCCATATGTTGGGGACACCGCTGGGCGCGGCCCGCCCAGCGGCGCTCGGAGGCTCCAAAGATCGACATTCAGACGCTCAACGAGTTTCCTTGGGTCGATGACTCAGCAGGGCAGCAGGGACATGCGATGGTCGACGTGCTTGGAATCCGGAGAAGATGGAGAAGATCTATACTCAATCACTCACAGATCTCACATAAATCTTGGTTCTTAGTTGTCTGGATATCAAGACAATCAAGACAATCAAGATGGATGACATGAAGTTTGGATGTTTGGATGATCCCACAATGCGATTTGAGAGGATAGAATTGGAGAAGCGGCTCCTCCTACGTTGCAGGATAGCAAGGAAAAGGGTGATGAATCGTCGCTGCCAGGTGAAGACTGACTTAAGACTTTGCCATGCCTACAATCACAAGGCCTTCTCAAGAACATGGAAGGGTCATTCCTGTCACAAACGGGCATCCATCGGATTCACATCTACAGCGCTGTCCTCTTGAAGGGTTTGCGTGCAAGGTAAACAGCATGATAAAGTCTGAGTCACTTTTGTGTCAAGCCCAAACAATTTCGACAGTGCACAAGTTCAGGACGGTCAAGAAAACATGCATGAACCTGGTGTTTACCGGTTTCTTTGCCACTCGCCGCAGTCCTCCTGCTGCCACGAGACCTTCGAGAGCGAACAGCAGAAGTTCTTCTTGATTTGGGACGCCTGTTTTCGAAGCAAATGCGCGCGCGCCGCAACTAGAGATGGCCTCCAACCTACTAGAGATGGCTACATGTGCCAAAATGCCTAATAAGGCTTTGACAGGAAGTTGTCCTGTCAAAAATTCTTCACTGTGTCCACGGATGGAGAAGCTGTCTGAGCATATGGAGCTCCATAATCAGAATCGAATGATTTGTGAGGGTTCCAGCCTGGATGCTCAGGTAGATTCAATACGTATATAAAGCATTAATGAACCTCTTGTACTCTAGATGTCACTTCCACTTGAGTGACAAAGCAAATGCGCTTTTTTCGCGGGCACATTCAAGACACTTATAAGGTGACTGCGAAAGCTACTATATAGCAAATAGCTACTAGGAGCTCCTGGCATCGCTACGAACGGAGCAAGGACGCTCATTTTTGTTAAGCAAAATGCATCATAGCCAAGGAAAGCCTCTTCCGAGAGAAGTTGCTGCGCATGGACGAGCATCGTCAGGTTCGCTGTGAGTGCCATGTTTTTAGTTGTTACTAGTAGCGTCCTTGCTCCTAGTAGCTATTTGCTGCTAGTAGTATGGCCAGGAGTTACTAGTAGCTTTGCTTTGAAGAGGATCCAAGAACATCGTGAACGTCCTATCTATCGATTCATATCGATTCTCAGCGGCGTTTCCTAGCCTTAGCTTCTCAGCTTGGAAGAATGCACCGTAAGACCCCGTGAGGCCGTTGAGGCCGTGTCCAAATACATGAGCACGCCAGTGGATATCGCTCAGTTGCGGCCCCCAAGTTCGATGCCGTGTGAGACTCCACAGCCAGACCTAGAGACTCGCCCTATAAGTCCAGTCTGACCCAGGTAAAACCTGTGTTGTTTTACCTCCTTGAGTAGTGTGTTTGTATGACCAACTCCAGTAAAATGAGGTCAATCATCGACTTGTAGGGTCAAGTTCATCGGATGATATCATCCTTGTTATGCATCCGTGGCCCAGCTCGTTGTCCATCAATCGGTGAAAAACCTGAGGCTGGAGGCGGTGATGTCCCAGTATGAGACCGTCTTAGGGCCGAAGACCGCTTCGGTGCGCAGCCAGTGCTTTCATGCTTTGCTCACGTGACCCTGCGGAGGATGTGCACGCTGATGTTGGTTTGACTGATTGGCAGAAAACTGGCATAGTTTACAGAGGACTGTAACTTCAACAATTTGTGTTGTGCTCTTGTGCCATGGATATTAAGCAGTTGCTGGATGACAGTGAGAAGAAGTTGACAGGTACGTGGCCGGTATGATTTGCTTCAGCTGCAACATCACTTGGTTTCGCTATCTAAAGCTAGCAGGCACAGTTGCTGGCACGGGCTGGCTACTCACTAGATCTCACTCACTAGTCACTTGGGCTGGCACAAGTTTCATGAAGTTTCATTCGTGTCTTGTTTGAGCTTTGTTTATGCTGGGTTGACGGGTTCACAGTTAGACGGTTCACCGTGGCACGTGGAGGTCCTAACTGAAGTGCTCTCCAGTGTTCTCAGTGATTGACGGTGCTGAACAATGATGTGTCGATCTATAGAAAGGGTACGCCAAAGACAGGACTAGACCGCAAAAGAATCAAAACATATGCAGATATGTCCTGATGTATATATATATATACATATAGTTCTATAGTTATATATCAGTTCGATGGTTAAAAGGAAAAGAAGAAACGACTCACAGATCCCCCGCTGTTGCCACCAGATGACTCCAACGACGTGCTCAAAGAAGTGCTGCGTGTGCGAGTCGCTCCAGAGGTGAGCGAGTCCAACTCTCCCGAAGGTCCCGAACCTTAAAGGCAAGAAGCTACTAGTAACCAGGGCATCGCTACTAGTAACAAGAGCATTACTACTAGTAGCAAGAAGCTACCAGTAGCTATTTGCTACGAGTAGTAAGGCCAGGAGCTACTAGTAGCGTCCTTGCTCCTAGTAGCGATGCCCTTTGCTCCTAGTAGCTTCTTGTTCCTAGTAGTAATGCCAGGAGCTACTAGTAGCGTTCTTGAAGATAAATATGATCATTCGTCTTTATAATTTCATACATTGCACGTGTTTCTCAATAAGTTCTTCATAATTATTCAAAGGATCTTAAATTTTTGGCATGCATCTTAATTAAGACCTTTTCTTTGTTTGCCCTTCGGGGTTCTTGTCGTTCGAACTGTCTTGCGGTGTCCTTTTTGCGGTGCATCGTTCGCTCACACTGTCTTGTGGTGCATCTGTCGTGTTTTTCGTTCGTTTCGATGTCGCCAATCAACCAACAGGTCCATCGGTTCCACTCAACTTCTGACGCAATCAGAGACCAGTGTCCATCCAAACTGACATCAATCACTGACATCAATCAGTGATTGCCTTCCTGCGATCTGGTTTCTTTCCTCCTTTTCGCTGAACTCGCGGGGACTGGAACGTGGAACGGCCTTCGAGTCCTTTTTGTTGACCTTTTTCGTTGACCGAATTGGAATTCTTTCTGCCCCCTTTTCACGGAGGCGTGTATGGACCTGTGGGCCGGACTCTCAGGTTGTTCTGGGTCAGTTGACTTTCTGGAAAGGGAACGGCGGCCTCCCTGGCAAGTCCTTGCAAGCAACACCCTGATATTTGATTATGTTTGGTTTGTTCGAACAAGGTCTCACAGCCTTGACAACACCTCAAGACATTTTTTCGATGGCTCTTCCATTCCTGTCTTCAGAGTGCCAGAGAGATCTTTCACTTTCACTACTTCACTTCAGGGCAGGGACATTCAAAGAACCAGCATGAGCCAACTTGCCTTTTGCTTCGTTTCACTCAGCACCCAAACCATTTAGGCTGCTTGCCGGCCTTTTAGTGATGCAGTGATGGCTCTCAAGGATGCGATTCGGTGTGCACGCCCAGATCCAAAAGATTCCAAGGGATTCGAGGGATCCAACCTAAGAGCCATGACCTCCAATCTAATAGCGATGGCCTCCAACCTAAGAGCGATGGCCTCCAACCTAGATTTGGGACTTCCAGTGACAGTGAAGAGTTCTGTATTGACAACTACACGATAGAACCATTGCATATTCAAGACACTTGATGAACTTCTTCAAACTCTGGATGGTTAAAGTAGACGAGTGAGATGAGAGCGGTTGTAAACTCGTCTCTTCGATGGATTCATCAGCTCTTCTCTTGTGTGTTTGAGCCGCCGCACGGCTTCCGCCCCATACTATCCGCAGGGACTCCGTAGTCGCACGCAATGCCAGTGCTTCGGAAGAGGCCAGTGCATCCTGTGTGACCCGTGTATCGCTTGAGAGCTCGAAGGATGTGTAGACATGATGTGTAGACTGCATCGATGACAGAATGGTCCCTCTCAAAAGACATTAGAATCCAAGCAAATCCAAGCGTGTGGTCGCTTGCAAACAGATTTGACCGTGTGTTATATTGTAGTCTTTCTTTGACCCGGACCATGCAACAGCACCGGCTGAGAACTCGGAAATTGTCGCTCGCAAGCTGTTGGTTACACGGAATCGTCTACCCATCACACGACGCAGCTGTGCTCACCCCGTGCCTAGTCCTGCGTCCTGCGCGGACAGGACTGAAGGTCTCCAGAGATTGATTCTCTACCCCGAAGACCGGCTACCCCTGCACCCCATTGGTCGGCAGAAAGGCGGTCGATCGATGCACCCACCGAAGCGTGCCAGAACATGGACCTCTTTGCGGACCAAGCAAGTCTGTGCAATTGGATGCACGACGAGGACAGCAACTCGTTTTTAGACAGCAACTCGTTTGTACCACCCCTTGGGTGAGTAGTGAGAAGATACAAATCCATGAGTTGCTTTGGTCGGGTCGGATGGGTTGGTTGGATGTTCGTTGCGGAATCCGGAGATTCTTGAATTCCTTATGGTTTAATGTGTGTGTTTTTTTCATGTTGTGTTCTGCCCTTTCTTTCGTCTTTCGTTCTTTTTGTGAACTCTTGACCGACAGGTGGCCATGCATCCGTTCAGAAGCCGAGCTCGAGAGGACAAAACACGCTTGCAGATCGGCAGATTCACGTCAATCGAAAAGGCTTGAGACATGTTTGATGTCATAAGATCACGTGTTACTGAGTTGATACAATGGGATTGTTCTTGCAGAAGCGCCGCCATTCAACACCTTCACCTCCTGAAAAGAATATCACTTGGGCATGCGGCATGACTGTTCTTTGCGAAGGACTTTAATCTGGCTCGTTCTACAGAGGCAGGGCGGGAGACTGGAAGGGTGCGGCCGGAAGGTTCTGACAGAAGCGATGCCCAGGAGCTACTAGTAGCGTCCTCTTGCTACTAGTCGTAAGGCCAGGAGCTACTAGCAACGTCCTTGCTCCTAGTAGCGATGCCCTTTGCTCCGAGTAGCGTCCTTGTTGCTAGAAAATAACATGGGATTGTGGTGCGCTCAAGATGCTTTGCAAAACGTGCCAACACGATGCATGTCATGTCCATGACATGCGTATGTCCAGCACTGCGTACTGCAGATGAAAAATACTAAAAAGAACAGCCTCCAGGAGCGACGTCTCTTTGCAGAGCAGGCAAGAGTCTGTTGCACTTCATTGACTATTCTGGTTTGCATCTGCGTATGTTTCGCCGAATTGGATGGTTTGGACATGAGAACATCTTTGGTTCAAATACTCCGCTACTCAGCTGGCAGTTTCCATTTTTCTACTTATTTGGAAAAATGACCAGACCACCATCGTTATCATCCTGTAGAGATTAATTTCCCTCATTGCTTTGCAATTACTGGTGAGAATTATGCACCAACTGGCTCAGCTTACTTTCCAGCAGCTCCTTTTCTGTAAACTACTGCTTGATGTTCGCCAAGGGAAGGTCTAGGTTCTGCATGCTTAAGAAGTGTAGAATCCCGGTATCCCGCAGTGCTTATGCCCTTCCCCTTGCCCTTTTGAGAAAACGTCTCGAAGCTGCGCTTGAAATTGCTCGATCAGCGGGAATGTAACATGCTTTGGATCACCTTCCTCGATACCTTCCTCGCCCCGTCTGCACAAGTTTGCACCTGCCAGTACCAGCTGAACCTCCTGGCGGACGGAAAGGTCACCGGCTTCGACCTCCATTGGTCCCGAGACCTGATGTCACGTCGTTGCCGGGCGCGAAGTGACCGTTGAAAGTGGCTACTCGTTACTAGTAGTAAGGCCAGGAGCTACTAGTAGCGATGCCCTTGCTACTAGTAGCTTCTTGTTGCTAGTTAAAAGTAGGATTGGATGACAACACAGGAACATGAAGCAGTTTGAAGAAATTTCGGTTTCTGTGTCTGATGTCAGTTTCATATTTGTGTGTTTTTTGTTTCTGCATGGTGAAAACTGCCAAGATGCGCTTGTGCGGGTGCTGGTCCATCCGTCCGAGGCGAGACCCATTCGCCAGCGGTGTCGCGCGGAGGTCGCTTTTGGGCGGAGACCGGAAGCAGGAAGCAATGATGATGTAACTTCTCCGTCTCCAGGAAGCATATCCTGTTACCAGTAGCGAGCTTCTTGCTCCTAGTAGTAAGGCCAGGAGCCCCGATCGTAGCGTCCGATCGCTCCGTTCGTAGCGATGCCAGGAGCCCCGATCGTAGCGTTTGTTTCGAGAAGTTTCAACGAGGGACCCGTGTTTCATCATGTGTTACCGCTCCAGAGTGCTACCCGCAGGTCAATTGCAATGGGCGTTGTGCTGATGGGAATCCTGACATGAAAAAAGATGGTGCCGTGGAGAGATTCAAGAGATTCACACGCCAGGATGGTGCCCATGAAAATCAGTTTTGCTCACCAAGAGTTCTGAATTGCATTGTTCATGATAGAATCAGCCGTTGGCATGTCAGATGTTGGCTCAAGGAAAGGCCCCCCCTGAACGACGTGAAATTCAGCAGAGATTGGTGGCATGAACCTTTCCAATGCAAGTTGGCATTGACGGATCATCCCAAATAAATAAAAGCAAGGGCGTTCCAATGAAGCCCTTTGCCACCCAAGCCTTTTGACACCTTCAAGCATTTTGGGGATCCCAACCAAGCACATTGGACTTTGCTAGCACCAGAACTGTTTTGTTGATAGACGACTACTCGAGCAAGCTTTGCCTGTGCTTAGACGGCAGGCTGCAAACAACAGCATGTTTAGCCCAAATTCAAGACAGCAGGCTACTTCTATATATAGGAAGGGCGATGGCAGATGCAACGTCGCAAGTTCTTGCGCAGCCCTTGACGCGTTTATTCAACGAGACCGTTTTCCGGGAGACCTCGTTGAAAGCCTGATGTCGTTGAAATCGTTCCTGTGCCAGGCATATCCATGGCTTGCACCGGGACTTTTCCAAGACTCAGGCACACAGTGACTGGTGCAAAGCTCAGCATATCTCAACCGGAAAAAGAAAGACTTCCAAGTTCAACACCTGAGTGCTGGCCGTTCGGGTTGTGTACCTTGCTAAATGCTGGTTGGTGCCTGATTGGTGCTAGTTCGGTTTCCGGCTCCAAAGCGGGTTGTTCGTTCTTTTTTCAAGCAACGATGGGCTTGTTCCTGTGCCTGGTCCATCCCCAGTCGGCTCAGGGGCCGATCAAACCCCTCCCATTTGAACATCCTCTGTTTATTGATCGTCTACATTACATCCTTCATGTTTAAAGATCTGGTTTGAATTTGGAAGCTTCACGAAGGTTCTAAGAAACCAACAAACAATGGGAAAGGAATAAAAGTGCGAAGCAAGTTCTCCCTAACTGCGGTTCAATGTGTGACTGATACACTTCTTTATAACATACAATTCCTTCAAAGATCACGCCGACCGAGGCTGTTGCGCTTTCAGCAGTCGCCAGAGGCGCAAAACTGCAGCAGGTCTCTCAATGGTCTGGAAAATTTCAGAAGGCATCACTAAACATTTGTGGGATGAACACAGAACACATAGCACCATACCGAACACATTACCGGCTTCATGTTTGTTGGGTCACAAAGGTGCTGTTTCAGTGGATCCTGTGGACTGTTTGATCCGGATTACGTAATATCAGAAAATATGTCAAATATGAGCCCAATGTAGACAGTATAGGCACCTTCAGTTTTATCCACTTGAGCCACAGCCACCCCTGATTTGGAAGCATCACCACCTTGGCACACATTATGCTAACTTCGTCAGGCTTGGGCGGTGGTGCTGGGTCCCCTGGTGACACGAACTGACAGGGACCGGTCAGATCTGACATGAACTGACCTCAAACACGAATGGACATGAACTGTCCACCTGGTCCAGTCAGTCTGGATTTCTAGCAGGTTAGTCTGCATGTGAAGAGTCGCGCCATTTCTTCGCGCCATTTCACGATGTGTTTCGAACCTGGTCGATCTGGTCGACGGGATCGTTGGAGTCGCTCGTGCGAGGACAGCGCAGAAGTGTCTCACGTTGATGGCAAAGACTTTTGGTCAGTCTGACAACTTACGTACTTGGCAAGCAAAATGAGGGTCCAAGTACTTGGGGGGCAACCGGGCAACCTTCACATGAACTTCCGAGGCATGGATTGCTCACCTCGCAAAATGAAGAGGCTGGAGTTTTGGAACATCAACCTTTTGAGCCACCTTTCAGAGTGGGCAAAGCTTCTACAAACCGACCCCCCGGCCCGTGTCCCTAGAGATCAGGATGGGCGAACGGTGTGTTTGAGGATGGTGATCAGAAAGACGAGTTCCTCACCGATGTCCTTCAGAAGAATGAGTTGTCAGAGAGGATGTTTGTTTTTTTTTTTATGTGTCAGAAAGGCAAACTCAGGACAATCGTGTGTTCTCATGTGTTCTCCATGTGTTTGAGTGAGTTGTCAGACGATTGTCTAACCGGAAGCAATTGCTCAGCAGGTGGTCGTGTACTTTGCCTCGCACACCGTGGTGTCAAAGCTTCAGGAGTGCTTCTGCACGCTGCACGTCACAACGATGTTGGAGCCAAATTTGAATTTGGCAAAACACATTCGTTGCAACACGGGGCCATTTGAAGCAACTTGACCGGCTTGGTCCAGTTGCACCCACCGTGTTTGGCTTCATGGGTGCTCCATACATGGAGGTACACGCAGTGCACTTACTACTCATTGCTTTCTTTCTTTCCTGATCACGTTTTGACATCATTTCTCGCTAAGCTGCTTTTCGCAGGTAACTCGCACGTTTAGCGCTCTGGTTTGTGCACTGGCTTGTAATACCTGTTTATAGCCGTGGAGATTTCTTAGTGATGTGTTTGTCATGTTGGTGTAATACAGAATTCCACTCCCGGAGTGTGGAAGGTCCCAGAATACTGCAAGCTGGAGCTGTTCCAAAGACAAACCAAGCCCTTAGGCGTTAGGCCCAAATCCTTGGTTTCATACAATGCTACTGTTTTGCTCCTGTTCCAGAGTGGTAAGTCTGAAGGACCTCAAACCGGAAGATCGGACAACCACGTGTTTTGCGTTTTGCTTTCGTTGCGGGTGCCGGATCTTTGACCCATCATTGCTTCTTGTTACGAGATCCGTTTTTTACGTATTACTCTTCCTCCCTTGTGGCTGGCCGACGAACGCCTGCAGGCGGGGCAACTCCCTCCAGACCTCATGGCATGTCGCCAGCAGCTGCTCGAGACCGAAGAATGAAGACCAAACGCAGAGGATCCAGCAAAGATGAAGCCGAAAACCTCAAGAGTCTCTAGGAGATAGGATCCTCTTGTAGATGGTAGCGGTCTGTAGATGCTAATGGCTCGGACTAGACTCCTCCGACTCTCACGTCAAGAACGTATATGATGTATAGTTGGAGTTCACCTGGATCAGAGCACCAAAGCCGCACCAAATCAAGATAAACCAATGCATTCGATAGCAACAAGCGTGTTGCAGCGAAATAAAACATGTCATGTCCAAAAAGAGAATCAAAGAAAGAAAGGCCCAAAGGCCTCGATAAAAGAAGTTGAACGGTCCAAAGAGAAAAGACAATACATAGTGTGTCAAAGATGCTGGTTACACATATTGTGTCGAAAGAAGCTACTAGGGGCTCCTGGCATTGCTACTAGGAGCAAGGACGCTACTAGGGGCTCCTCACCGTACTACTAGGAACAAGAATTCCTGTGGAAGTTTGCCTTGTGCCCAAATCAACGAGGCTCACCTGCCTAGCGCGGTTTCGCAGCGGTCCGGCTGCTGTGCGCGGGGGTCCTTGGTGGTCGATGCAGGTCGAAGCGCAGATCGGAAAGAGACAAAACATTGTTTCGACCCATGAGAATAGGAACAAGAAGCTACTAGGAGCAAAGGGCATCGCTGCTAGGAGCAAGGACGCTACTAGTAGCTCCTGGCCTTACTACTAGCAGCAAATAGCTACTGGTAGCTATTTGCTCCTAGTAGCAATGCCCTTGTTACTAGTAGCGATGCCCTTGTTCCTAGTAGCTTCTTGCTAGCTGGCCTCCAACGTATGATGGTCATGAGATCTCATGGCAGCCTTCGTTTGAGGTCGGCAGTTGGTGATATCGCTGGTGGATTGTCAGCTTTGGCGCCCTGCTGCAGAGGCACCATGGCACGACTCGACATCAGAACTTCTGTGGCAGAAGAGAAGAAATGCTCCTAGTAGCGTCCTTGTTCCTATTATAGTACGGCCAGGAGCCCCTAGTAGCGTCCTTGCTCCTAGTAGCGATGCCCTTTGCTCCTAGTAGCGTCCTTGTTCCTAGTAGTACGGCCAGGAGCCCCTAGTAGCGT